ATCTATCTATCTATCTATCTATCTATCTATCTATCTATCTATCTATCTATCTATCTACCTATCCATATATCTATATATCTATCCATCCATCCATCCATCCATTTATCCATCCATCCATCCATCTATCTATCTATCCATCCATCCATCCATCCATCCATCTATCATCTATCCATCCATCCATCCATCTATCTATCTATCTATCATCTATCCATCTATCATCCATCCATCCATCCATCCATTCATACTAGTTTCTGTTGTTTTTATTTTACTAATATTTGTTAGCAGTACCGTATACTGTTGTGTTCCTGTCCACAATTGTGTAAGTTGTTGCATGAAATCTGAGGACAAATAAGATGCCACGAAGGTCCACAATAAAAACACACACACCCAAAACAAGACAAGTTAGGTTGATGTGGCATCCTGCTGCCATTCCGTCTTTAACACAGTTAGCGTCAGTTTGCAAGCACATTTTCTGCATTTTGTGCATTAAAATATTGTGTAAGTAGGGTAATGACAAATCCAAAAAGCTAAAGTGTACGGCAATAAAAGCGAAAGTCAGTGCAACGACGAAATGTCTTCCCGAGTGTCAGACAACTCTACTAATGTAATAATATGCAATGCAGCATCAGTGAGACTTTTCCGACCTAATAGGACTGAACACATAATGTCATCGGCTAAATATTTAAATGTGTCTTCAGCACTCCTCTGGGTCTTGTTAACAGCTGATGCCCTCCAATTAAATGCGGTTGAAAAGCTTTGCTGCTTCACAACACGTTCTTTCCGCTCCCCGAACCCCGAGGATGATAATGTTGATATTGTTTTTGGGGCTAGCAGTTGCTTAAAAATAGTATGTTTTTTCTCAATGCACAGTCAACATCTAATAGAACCAAATCCACATCCACGCACAGTAAATCGACAAATCAACAGGTGGAGTGGGTTGTATGCATAAAGGCAAATATGACTTCAGGTTTATTCAACCTAACCTGAACAATGTCTACACTAGGGTTGTCAAACATACCGCCCGCGGGCCAAAAGTGGCCCACTTGTGGATTTAATCCGGCCTGCTTGATGAATTTTAAAAGCTAAAAAAATACCCAAACACCTCATGTTAGTGATGTTTTGTCAAATTATATTTCATAACATATGAGTATAATCTAATATATTTGTGTGAAAACAAATGGGGAAACCATGGACTTTGTTGTTATTTATAGGTAATTATGTTATGATTGTACTGGTCCGGCCCACTTGACATCTAATCAGGCTGTATGTGGGCCCTAAAACATAATGTTTGACAACTCTGGTCTGCACTGAAAATGTGCATGGCATATTTAACCATCATTATCTGTTGACTTTTGACTGTGTATTGGTGTGTGTGTCTGATTGACAGCTGGTGGTGGTGGCCTACGATGATGGCGATCCTGTAAGAGAGAACACAGCTCAGGTGGAGATTACGGTGCTCCAGCCATCCATAATTCCTGTTTTCACTCAAGAAGAATACAGGTACACAGTACACACACACTCATACAAACANTTCTCAGGTCTGATTGAGTAAAAACACAGCAAAGGGAGGGCACGCAGGTTAATTATAACCGCAATGACTGTAACTGTACAACAGTTGCAAAATTCCCATCGTTTCACACAAGTTATCTTCTCCATAATGCAGTCAATCAGAAGCTAAGCTATGTAAATGAATCGCTCTCCCACCTCATTTGCAGAAACAGGAATAAGGAATAACTCTTTTAGCTGCTGTTTAAATTAAAGGATCAAAGGTCAAGTTTTTTTTTTCTTCCTCGACAAGCTGGGTGACTAGAAGGTTAAATGTAAAATGAAGAAAAAAAAAAAAAAAAAAACCCAAAGACTTCTTTATCTCTCTTTGTCTTTCACTGGATCACCTTCATTTCCTTTTTGGTTCTGTCTTCATATCACCCTTTATCACATTTCTTTCTTGCTGTGCAGTAACAACACATTAAGAATGTCAGCAGTAGTGAAGGGACGGCCATTTGTGTGGGTTCTCTGTTATATTCTGGGAAAAAAAAAAAAATTTCCCCTTAGCTCAGTTTTCCAGGGCCTAAAATATCTTGTGAATCTAATTTTCAATTTTAGTGTTGAAATAAGTGGCTACTATCTGTGTATAGGAAACAAAGTTTCAAAAATATTTCAAAATTAATTACTGACATCGTTTTCTTTCTGGGCATTTTTGAGAATAAGAAAGGAGTAGAATCTTGTTTTTATGTGATTAAATTTGTACTTTGTCTTAATTTGCCTGTCCTAAGTAAATTGGAAGTTCTAATTAAAAATGATCTTGCTTCAACAACCAGCAATTATTATGAATTATCCCCTTAACTAATTATCATATTACAAAACAAAATCCATTGCTAATGATCCTTGCGGAATGAATATGATTGAATGATTGAATGATTTTGTTAAATAATGGCAGAAAAGTGATGTGTTATAATGTGAGGTACTTTAAATGATGCAGTGAAGTTCGGAATATTTTCTCAGGGGACACTTTAAACGGTGCAGTGAAGTTCGGAATATTTTCTCAGTTGCTAGTATTTTCTTCATATTTTTAATATGAATTAATTTACACAAAACCGCATTTCTGAACATTACCCCAATCACAGAAAACATGTCACAATACAGATTATTTATTTATATTTATATATAATATTATATATTGTATTTATTTATTTTATTATTAATGCTTATCCTTATTAATTTATGTAATCACTATTTCTTTCACCAAAATGTGCAGTTTTTTTCAAATTAGTCATGTTCAATATTAACATTTTGCCGATATCTGATATCCCGATATTGTCCAAACACTTACTGATACCTGTATAGCGGGGCAGAGGTGGCTCACTAAGGTGATTGGTTAAAGCCATTTATTTATCTGTGCCAACCACTGTATGAGTTGCTGGCACCAACATTCGTTGGTTATCAAAATAGTTTAATAAAATGAGCTACGATGCTGCCATCTAGTGACTAGAGGCTTGTTTATCGTTCATGTTCATGTGTTATGAAGGAGTTAACAGTTACAGGTATGGGAGAGGGAGTGAGGAGGTGTAGTGAGAGCTCGTGTGTGCGTGAGGAAGAGAGAGTGTGAGAGGAGGAAAAGGTGTTTTTGGAGAAGCTGGGTTGACGATTCTAACAGATATTACGTAACTGTGCTAATATTAGTCGAATGTATTGGACATCTCTAATTTAAATGAATTTAAACTGTCGTTGATCCATGTCTTGGATGCTCTGCGTTTAAAGTGGACAGAAGTGCAGGGGTAGGAGTGTTAGCTTGACATGTGGTGTTCACACAGAGTGCAGTGCGGCATCTTTAGATTAATTAGCCGCACTCTGTTTGATAAAACATCATTGTTGTGCCTGTGTGGTTCTAGAAGCTGGCTAATGGAGATCAATGGGCCTTAATAGTGAACCTTGGAAAAAAAGACTCCAGTGAAACCAGAGATCTGTTGCATAAGGAAATGCTTTTGTTGATCTGATTCTTTTTACTGCATGAAGTCTATTTTAGCAGTGAATAATTATGGATAGGTTCTCAAAAATCTATCCATCCATCCATCAATCCATCCATCCATCCATCCATCCATCTATCCATCTATCCATCCATCCATCTATCTATCTATCTATCTATCCATCAATCCATCCATCCATCCCTCCATCAATCCATCCATCTATCTATCTATCCATCCATCAATCTATCCATCTATCTATCCATCTATCATCTATCCATCAATCCATCCATCCATCCCTCCATCAATCCATCCATCTCTCTATCTATCCATCTATCCATCCATCATCCATCCATCTATTTATTCATTCATCCATCCTACCTACCTACCTACCTATTACTCCAGACAGGTCATCCATCCCTGTTAGTAAGGTCAAACATTTTAATGTAACTTTAGTTTTCAAACATTCTTTTCTATTTCAGTGATACCAAACATGACGGCAGTCCTCATGTCCTTAAGCTAAACAGATTGATTTATATTTTCCTCCAGCCCTCGTGAGGTAAAACCTTCAGTTTCTTCTTGTGAAGTGTTTCTCATCAGTAAACATCTGTGGACATATGCATTATGAAAATAGACAGCTTGGTGCCTGATATATTTATTGTACAAAGTAGATAAACCAAGGTTTTCCCTTGTCACATTTCTTTGTTACCAGTGCTAATATGGCATCTCTGTAACCGAAACAGAAGTTCTACACATTTGAGGCCCTGCAGCCAACATCAGACGTCATAAATCTTTTATATGTGTTTTTTAATGAAATGCCAGGCATTTGATTCCTAAATATCCTTTTTTAAACAGCATTCTAGACCAAGTGGTAGGGCACCTCACAGCCTACCACTAATATGTATGCGGTATTTAAATTCAGTAATGCTAAATTTACTCAGGTTGTCAAAATTAACAAATGAATAGCATTAATGAATTTATGAAGATTAATCAGATTCACGTTCAAGCTGCTGTTGCAAAGTCAAATTTTTTTTTCATTCATTTTTGTTTCACTATCACCTTAAGTTTAAATACCATCTCCATTATCAGCAGTTTTTTGTGAAGGCTTCAGCTTTAGGTCAGAGGTCATATTGTGTGACTGTCATAATTGTTAAATGGATTTTGAGGGACAGTGGACTGATTCATTCTTTGCCCACCTTGTGTGACTGACATAATTGTTAAATGGATTGTGAGGGACAGTGGACTGATTCATTCTTTTTCATATTTAGGAATGTCAATTAATTTCAATTAGTCATGATTAATCATGATCATTTACAATCATGAATAATAATACAAAATAAATAACAGAGAGTTTCAATGCAAAAACTCTAACATTTACCTCCATTGACATCTATTTGTGAATTGACTTCTCAGGCTGCGTTTTATTTTCTCCAGCCAAAAACATTCCATCATCGGTCATCATGATTTAGCGTGCCTAGTACCATTGTTTAGTCTTGGCTAATGAACATTGCTACAGACATTAATGTTTTGCACTTGCCTTCTGGCTTCAACACTGCCAATACTTTTGCAATAACTGTCATTTAAAACCTTATTTACACACAGGTTCCTTACTTGTAATGCACTTATGGGGCCTTCATGTATTGCACGGCTATAACTTTGAGCTCAGTCAAGACAACAGTGACACATTTTTTTTGGCTCTGTGCTTCGGCAAGACTACATTTCAGATGAAACAAGTGAAGTTAATGTGCTGACTTTTTACTTTAAATTTGTGTGTGTCTGTGTGTCTGTGTGTTTACATTCATAGCATTACAAGCCATGCTGCCCCTTGGTTAACCCCCAAGGGCCTGCATAAAAACAGGTCGACAATATCCTACAGTGCGCGCCATTGCAGAAAGTCAGCACTTTAATCTTATCGCCGGTGTTTAATTTCAAATCCAGTGTGCCCCAGAAGAGACTCCAAACAAATCTGTCGTCCTGCTCTGAGAATAAACACATCAAAAGGCCCACAGAACTGTAGATTGCTTTTTAAGCTGCATTACTATCACTGTCAAAGACATTGTTGCTGTTTTATGTGGCCCAGGAGATAATTTTATGAGGAATACAATTAATAAAAATCTTGATCATGCATTTTTTTTATTTTTAATTTAATTTTGTTAAATTAGGTCTGTGTTTGTAGCTACAGGCACATGCACACATCCACCCAGCTGCAGTCACACTACAGGCAGTAAAAGGAGAGCTTTGATGCTGAACCTTGCTGTTTCTGCAATTTCATTCTTCTCCACTTGTATATCATTTGCCGAGCGAGCGGGCACGTTTAAATCATCGTCGTAAGATGAGTGTAGTTCGAGAGCCCTCCTCACCGTCAGCCCCCCACCCCCCAAACAAGCACCTGCGCGATTAGTATGCAGACGATGTCACGCGGCGTCGAATGGTTATCAGCATCCAGGGGGAGCGATCAGCATGAGGTTAAGTGAGCAGAAAGAAAATATTGCCTCTTCAAAGGTTATGATTGAGATCTAGACTCTTACACGAGTGTTGTGTGTTTGTGTTGCGTGTGGGACAGGGTTTGTTTGTTTGGGGTTTTTTTTTTTTTTTTTGCCCCAGGTGTATCTGCACACACAAACACACCCAAGTGATAGATATGTTAGTCATGTGACTAACAATCTACTCGGAGTGGAAGTAGACCCAGGAGTTAAATACTTTAAAACCTTAAAGCTCATTGGATAAACTGACAAAGGCAGAGAGGGAGTCGTTTAAATGAAATAGTGCGCTATGTAATACTAATCAGATGAAACAGAGAAGAAGACATAGCCTTAGGACTGTTCAACGTTCGATCTAGTATTTTTGCCAACTAAAAAACACCTTCAGCTTGATATTTAGCTAACCTGTTAGCCCGATAATTGTAATGTTTTGTCATTCTTTGCGTTTATCTAAAAATTAGTTTTGTTTTGTTTTTTTAATCTCCCTTTAAGTTACACATGTCTGAGTGCGATTAACAAGTGACGGCATTTACAGCACGTGTGCGTGGAGAGCAGACAA